AGAAAGGCAACAGGGCCCCATCCACTACATCAGCTCCAAGAGAAAGGCCCGAGCGTGCGGAGGGCTGGCAGAAGCGCCTCCCCCAGCGCTGCGGCTCGGACATGCTCTTCTGCAGCCCTGACAGAAGTTCCCTGCGGGAGGCCGGGAGGCAGCTGGGAGCTCCCAGCACACGCGCCCCGAGACACCGGTGCGCTGCTGGCCGAAGCCCAGCCTGACCGCCCCCAGCCTCGGGCTGCTCTCGCAGGGACAGAGAGGAGGGATCGCGGAGACTGCTCCACCTCAGAGAAACACTTTTGGCTTTGCAGGATTTAGCTTTGCCCACGCGGTCTGGGCCGTCACGGGAGGAGAGGCAAGAGCAGAGGTAGAGCAGCGAGCAGGACACGGGCAGGTGGCACGGCCTCCTCCTCCTCCTAGCCAAGCTGCAACCACAAACCCCAGAGGGGGATTCCTCCGTCGCTTGCAGACACTCCTGCTTTGTTAATCCTCTCTCCCCTGCGCTCCCTGGCAAGCTCGGGAGTTACGTTAACCGAGCCAGACAAAGCATAAAGAAGCCCAGTCGCATCGTGACGGCTCCACGTCCCTCTGTTTTAGCCAGGAGTGCCGAACACTGCTCCCAGGGGCCCATGCTTGTCCAGAAATATTTCACTGTGCTACCTTGTCCGATTCTCATTTTCCCACGCCCTCTGTCTCAATCTGAGGGTAAGATCAGTATCTAATTAGCCACATAAGCTGCCGTTTCCTACTCCAAAATTTACTGTAAATATTTTTGAAAGAAGAACCGATCAACTGAAGCAGCCCACGCTGTGCACATCAAGCCATTAATAACGATGGGGTTTCATCGTTACGAAGCCCGACACCCCTCCCCAACCTCCCCGAAATCACACATGCGACAAAAAAAGCAATAAACCAACAAAAAAACGCACATTGATCCCCAGCCTCGTACCAGAAACCCCTTCCCAGATTGTACCTGCTTTGGATTTTCGCCGCCTGTGGGGGTAGCCCACTCGCTCCTCCTCTCGCTCAGTCAAATATTCCCCTGTCTGGTATTTCCGACTTTTCTGTCGTCTCCTTTTCTTCCTTTTGATGTGGCTGTCATCTTCTTCCTCCTCGTTGGGCTCCCACAGCTGCCTGGGTGATTCCACTCTCCAGGGCAGCTCCCGGGTCCTCCTCGTGTAACAGCTGCTCCTCTCGGACAGGGACCTGTCCCTGGCCCTGCGACTGTGGTAGCGTGATGTCCTGTGGGATTTTCGCAGCTTGCGACGTTTCGAGGATGTCTCCTCCTCCTCTTCCTCCTCCTCTTCCTCCTGATCCTCCTCCAGCAACGGTAAAATCTCCTGACCGCTCACATCACACTCTCCCGTCACACCGGCAGAAGAGCCAGCGACGCTTCCTGCAAGAAAGCGGGATTTCTAGCTGACAGAAAAGCCAAGAGTTTCTACAAGAAAAACCCTGCCGGGCAGGACGGAACACGGGGATGACACCCACAGCCCGCCCAGGACCCCCACCCGGGTCCCCTGGCACCAACTCACCCGACTGACTGCGCGTCCGGCTGCTCAGCACCACCGGAATGAAGTCCCGAAAGTTGTTCTTGGGTTTCTTCTCCAGGTAACCTGCAGGGAAAGGCGAGCCTTGAGCAAGTGCGGCACAGCTCTGCCGGCCCGGGAAGGGCCGCCCAGAACGAGGCCGCAGCTCTGTGTCGCACCCCGAGCCCCT